TTGCTATTGGGGATTTAGACTAGCCAGAGAGACAGAAAGTGAGAAATCACTTCCCGGGGGGATGGCCATACCACAATTCCTTTAGGGATCTTGGGTGCACCTGTGCACACATGCCCAGCATGAGTTTAAAGCCGCCGGGTTCGGGACTTGAACCATAGTTGCCTACATGGGAGTCCAGCAACATAACCATTATGCCATCTGCTGATCTCCCATCTTTATTTTCTCCCCTTCGCTTACCTAGCTTTTAGCTTCTTTTTCCAGTTTTTTTTTAAATTTTTTTTAGAATTATTTTATTTAACTTTATTTATTATTATTATCATTATTATTTTTCAGTTTGATCAGAGAGAGAAGAAGTGAGAAAGCAAGCCACCAGGTCCCAGACTTGAACCGTCGTTGGCCATGTGGGAGTCCAGCGCCTTTAACCACCATGCCACTTGCTGGCCCCTTTTTCCAGTTTTTAAAGAAGGAAACTTAGATCATTCATTTTAGCTCTTTTTTTTTTTTTCTAAAAAGGCCTTTAATGCCATTATTTTTTCTCTAAAAAAAGACATTTCAAAAATACAACCTTGATGTGTTGTATTTTCATTTTCACTTAGTTAAGAACATTTTCTAATTTCCCTTATTACTTCCTACTTGACCCACAAGTTATTTTGAAGTGTGTCATTTATTTGGGGATTTTTCCAGATATTTTTCTGTTATTGATTTCTATGTTAATATCATTGTTTTCAGGGAATGCTCTTTGTATGATTTTAGTTCTATGAAGAGTGTTGATGTTTATTTTATGGCCCCTAGTGTGGTTTGTGTTGTTGGTGGTTTCTTTTTGACAATTTAAAGATACATATTTTGAACTAAAGTGAGAAAGTCGGTGTAAATTTCTCCAGAGATACCTTGTCTGAAGTTCATATCAGGTTAAATAAAGTTGATCTGGAAAATTAACTTTATGGACTCCTCAAGGTTCAGTCCCCAGGAGCCTGGCATTGTGCCAAGCCTGGCGGTAGTTAAATCCTGGAGCCAGTGCACCCCTTATTTACGTCTGAGTAGGCAGTGAACCAGAAAGACAGCGTGACTTGCAGCTGCACCAGTTGTTTTGCTTGGAGGAAGGAGGAGGCAAATATCAGAGACCAGCTTTGAAAGGGAGATAAACACTTGATGTTGCCATCCACATAAAAGAGAAGATACTGATGGCCTCAGTCCTGCCAAACTGACAGTCCTATAAGTTGGCAGGTCTGGAATTAGTTTTGATATCAAAGAAGTTTAACTCCTGGGAGGTATAGCTCTTGGGCTGATACATGTTCTGATATGTGGGGTCTTTTTCTCAAGCAAATGCAAAGAACAGCGAAAGAACATGATTTCCCGCTTACAGGGATCTCTTCTTTGCACCTCTGTATAATTAGAACACCTCAGTGTCCTTGAAGTAGCACCAACAGGGACCAGCAGTTGGCATAATGGCTATGTCGCTGGACTCCCACATGGTCAACCGCAGGTCGCGTCCCGGACCCAGTGGCTTAAAATTCACGCCGGGCGCATGTGCGTGAGCGCCCAAGATCCCAAGAGGAGTACTGAGGAGAGGGGATTGCGGCGTGGCCATCCCTCTGGGGGGTGATTTCTCGCTTTCTGTCTCTCTGTCTCTGTCTGGTGAGTGCACGTGCCCTATATCAAAAACCTCTCTCAAAAAAAAAAAAAAAGAAAGAAAAGAAAAGAAATAACACCAACAGTACTGTGGCATTTTAATTGTTCAAGGGAATAGTAAACATTCAGAAGAGTAATACATGATAACAGACAACCTGGAGGCTGGAGGGGAGAACAAGGATTTGTGCCTTCTGCCTTCTTTGATCCTGCTGTAAGGTAATACTATCAATATTGCCTGGGCAGGACAACTACAGCCCCACAACTAATTAATGAGTACTTACTCTGTGCTGGGCATTATTCTAAGGATATTTTATAGAGGAGCCTCACACTAATTCCAGGAGATGGGATTATCTTAAAGTTCCGATAAGAAAGTTCACTATCTTGAAGTTCAGATGAGAAAGTCAAGTCAGAGAGGATAAGTAACTTACTTTAAGACACAAAGTTAATGAGTTGTGCAGCAGCATTGGAACTCAATAGGCCCCTTTTACCAGCAGTTTCATTTGCTGAGGTTTCAGTTACCTGTAGTTAATTGTTTCAAAAATATTAAGTGGAGGGACCAGCAGATGGCATAATGACTATGTCACTGGACTCCCATGTAGTTGATCATGGTTTGAGTCCCGGACCTGGTGGCTTAAACTCACACTGGGCACATGTGCATGCATGCCCAAGATCCCGAGAGGAGAATGGAGGAGAAGGAACTGTGGCATGGCCATTCCCTTGGAGGGGAGGGTGATTTCTTGCTTTCTGTCTCTCTGTCTCTCTCTTTCTGGCAAACACACACATAACTTGTACACTGTTCTGAGTAGAATAGTGAAATATCATGCTGTCCTGCTCTGTCCCACCGGGATGTGAATCAGCCCTTTGTCCAGAGTACCCTGGACTATCTGCCTATGAGTCACTTAGAGCTATCTCAGCAGATTGACCATAGTATTTACAGGGTTCAGAACCATCTGTGGTTTCAGGCATCCTCTTGGGGTTTGGGGATGTATCTCCCATGGACAAGGGCGGACTACTGTATCACCTATCACACAGGGGTGGTTGTCGGGATTTCGAGTTGATGTACAGGAAGTTGGGGGTGGCCCAAAGTACTTATGATGTACAGTGTAGCACCCCCCTTGATTTTAAGCTGCCTTGTCCTCCTGTTTCCATATCCTGGTAGCTCAGCAACTTCATCTGTGCGCAGCTCCAACACCCTGGAAGATGACCCTCCATAAAACAAACGTCCAGAACACTCACACCTCATCGGTGTGCCCAGCCCAGGGCAGTGCTTGAGGCTTTTCACAGCACTTATGCTTTCTGTAAGGAAAAAGGAGTTGAATCACTGTTGTGGTAAAATGCCTCTAGACAGCAGCTGACAAAAATACTTGAATTTATTTTCCATGCTTTAAGTGGGTTTCAAAAGGAAACTTTTTCCAGCACACACACAAATAATAAACTACCATTTAGAGGCATTTACGTGTCGGGCTCAGTGTCACATTATCTCTAGTCTTTACAACAATCCTGCACGGAATTATTACCTGGTTGGAATGATTAGACCATATTTTATTTTACAAAAGCAGCAGCAGAGGCTCTGCTCGGTTGATTGGCAGCATTCAGATTTTGTGGCTTACTGGATTGAGGGCCTCAACTCTTCTCCATTGGCCTTCCTCAGTCCCTTTCCACAGGGCAGCTCACAAACAGGCTCTCCAGCTTCTCTCAGAGCAAATGAGTGAGCAAGTGCAAGAGAGTACCAAAGGCAGAAGTCACGGTCTTTTTGTAACCAAATCTCAGAAGTGGTATTCTGTCACATTATTTACATATGCTGTTCCTTAGAAGCAAGTCAAGCCTACATTCTGGGAGCGGGGGGGTTACACAAGGGTACAAATGTCAGGAGGTGGGGATTGTATATTTACGAGATACAGTAAGAGGCTAGAGCTAGCCTTATACGTAAAATATATATATATATATATATATTTAATTTAATTTATTTAATATTATTCTTCAATTTGACCAGAGAGAGAGAGAGAAAGCAAGCCTCCAGGTCCAGGACTCACCATGGTCGGTTATGTGGGAGTCCAGCACCTTACCCATCATGCCGCCTGCCAGCCTCTTGCTTTATACTTAATGATGCAAAACAAAATGCTTTCCTCCTAAGATCAGTAATAAGACAAGGATATCTGCTCTCCCCATTCTTATTTAATATCTCACTAGAGGATCTAACTAATGCAATAAGGCAAGAAAAATAAAGTCACACGGGTTAGGAAAAATAAAACTGTCTCTATTTGCAATGACATGATTATCGACATAGACAACCCCAAGGAGTTTATAAAACTTCCTAGTACTTGTAAGTGAGAAAACATCCAGATGGCAAAGAAGCATGAAAAACCGTTCCACATCTGGAATGGTGTTAGAGAAACACAAATTAAAATCAGGACACACTATTACCCGTATTGGCCCAAATCAAAAGAACTGACATACCAAATGTTGGCAGGGATGCTGAGTAATTGGAACACTACTGACAGAAATGTAAAATGATACAGCTGCTTAGGAACACATTTTTTTAAAGAATTTTTAAAATCTTTATTATCATTATTATTATTAGTTTCCAGTTAGATCAGAGAGAGACAGAGAAAGAGAGAAGGGGAAAGTGAGAAAGCAGCCATGGTTGGCCATGAGGGAGTCCAGTGCCTTTAAACACCTAGCCACCTGCTGGCCCACTAACACATTTTAGTGGTTAGTTATAAAGGCAATATTTGTCCTCCTCCCAAGTATTTTCCCAAGTGAAATAAGATACATTCACATAAAAGGTCATTCATGAATGTTTATGGATCGAGGATTTGGAATAAGGATTTGGTGATGTGTATTCACCAAAACCCGGAAACAGCTCAAATATCCAACTGGGAATGGATAAACAAACAGTGGTATATCCATATAATGAGATATATGAAATACGTAATATATAATATGAAATACTCAGCAGTAAAAAGGAACGAAGTGATGAATGCAAAACGTGGATTTCAAGGGCACTGTGTTAAATTAAAGCGCTTGTCCTCAGAAGACTACGTAATGTACGAGTCCACTCATAACAAACTCTCTGTCGGAGATCGAAACCTGTAAGAGACAGAAAACAGATCAGAGGATGCCATCTGCAAACCACCTCTGGAAGGTTCACAGACTTCCTTCACGCCAGCCCAGGCATATGCTACTCCATTTTCAAGGTAACGCCCCTCCCCAGCTCCTTCCTGAATCCCAGCCATTCACGTTTAGCTTTACACTTGCTGGGCACAAGATGGTCCCTGTCCCCTTGACAGCGCGTTGGTGGTCTCTCCGCAGGTACCTCTTCCAGGCCCAGTGCGCTAAGGGACTAGGGTGGGTGATGAAGCTGGAGACCGTCTGTCCAGCGGCAACTGACTTCTTCCTCGGTTTCTCCAGCTCCATCAACTTCTCACCACCGTGCTCGCATCCGAGCAGGAGTCCGCAGGCAGAAGGAACCTGAGAATGAAGGCGGGCTGTAAACGTCCACCTCCCACATCAGACGCCGACTGCCTCGGAATCCCGCTGCCGGCGGAGGGGAGCGCTGTAGCCGCCTGCAGCCACCCCCTCCTTCCCTGATGCCACGGCAGTGGTCGGGACAGACACAGAGGGCGATTACAGGCCAGCAGGGAAGACAAGGGGGCAACAGGTTATCACGAGGGGGGCGGCTCTTCCTAGGGGGTGCCCACTGCCTCGGAGGGGCCCTCGGCGCACGCGTCTTCCCAGCGGACGCTACTCCAGCCGCGCTTTCCCGGAAACCGCAGAATTTGAAAGCTGGCAGGTCTCCTCTCCCGCCAGGAGAACGCGCAGGTGGCCGAACCCGCGTCAGGTCAGCTCCTCCCTGGGCCGAGGTCCGCCCCAGAGGGTCCTCCCGGCGGCCCGGCCCCGCCCAGGCTAGGCCGGGCTAGGCTGGGGCTGTTCCCATAGGGATCGCGGCCCAGACCCGCGGCGCCCCGCAGGCTTGGGCCCGGGCGCCAGGAGAAGCCCCGGAGGCGCTGCGGCGTCTCCCCGCGGGCGCGCCCCCGGGAGCTCCAGGCCTTGCCCCGCGCCGGCAGCAGAGCGTGGGCGAGCGCTTCTCGGCGCCGCGGTCCCCTGCGGGCCAGCGCTCGCCGCCACCCCCGGGGCCAGTCGGGAGGTGTCTTCTTGCCGAAAGGAAATGAGACCCGAAATTAGAACCGGGGAAACCCTTAGCCTTCCGCGTTCTGCAGCCAGCTCAGGTGTCTTAGATCGGATGAGCTCTAACACTAAAAAGATAGATGATCTTCCTGCTCGGTTCGTTTTAGCATGATAGGTTACGTGTTAACGGCGAGGTATCTAACAGGAGATTAAACTTGGGTTTCCCAGGACAGCTGACTAGGCTGTCATCAATGATCGCGTTGCCACAGCTGAGGGGCGAGTCTGTAAGGGCACGGGTCCATGCCTGATTCTTCAGCCAGGGCTGTCGCTCTGTCCTAGGATCTTGACGAAGACCCATCTTGGTTGCGACGCCACTGCAGTCCGCTCGTGCCTATCTTTTATAAGGGACATTTTCAAACTATGAAGATCCATTTTTAGAAGTTTATTCCCCTGTGATGGAGAGATATGAAAAAATTGGGAAAATTGGAGAAGGATCCTATGGAGTTGTTTTCAAATGCAGAAACAGGGACACAGGTCAGATTGTGGCCATCAAGAGGTTTCTGGAATCAGAAGATGACCCTGTCATCAAGAAAATTGCCCTCCGAGAAATCCGCATGCTCAAGGTAATTGACTCACTTTTTCTTTAAAGTGAAGAGTCAAGGATCGGAAACACAAAGTGGGTCATATTAGGTTCAATGAGCATCTTGGGACATGGTTACATCTCCCACCGTCAGGGCCGTTTGTCCTCAGTGCCACAACTGCATGTCTGTGCACAAGCCACCAATTACATAATGAACCAGGAGGCAGAACTGTGCAGGAGGGGTGGGGCACCCTTCTCTTTTAGAGATGTGGTGGGATGTTTTACTTTTCTTCCCATTAGCTTCTCTTCCATATCACCTGTAGACCTGAATTGTCTTTTTTTTTTTTTTTTAAGAATTATTTTATTTAAGTTTATTTATTTATTTATTTTAATTTGACTGGGAGAGAGAAAGAAAAAGCCAGGTCTGGGACTCAAACCACAGTCAGCCATGTGGGAGTCCAGCGCCCTTCACCATCATGCCTCCCGCAGGACCCTAGACCTGAATTTTCAAAAGCCATCACACTTTGATAGTTCAGGAACTTAAAACAACTCAAGTTTGCTAGCATTGTTGATTTTTAAACTTCTAGGCTATTTGGTATTGGGATTCTCAACCCATTAAGGGAATTAATTATCCGTTTGTTTTCAAACTGCGAACAAGCTAGTAGGTATTCATGATATCTCACGTATATGAGTAAGTCTGCTGCTGCTAAGCCTCATAAAGTCCTGCCTCTAGAAGAATGGTTCTTTTTAAGGAAGTGAAATGATCACTTTTTAAAAGAAGAATTATTTTTAAAATTTGATTTATTATTATTTAATTTGACCAGAGAGAAAAGGAGAGGGAAAGGAAAGCAAACCACCAGGTCTGGGACTTGAACTGCAGTCAGGCATGTGGCAGTCCAGCGCCTTAACTGCCATGCCACCTGCTGGCTCCAAAATGATCACTTTTTTTTTTTTTTTTGGAGAGGTTTTTGCTATAGGGTACGTGTGCTGCTAGAAAGACAGAGAGACAGAAGGCGAGAAATCACCCCCCAGAGGGATGGCCA